TCATCAGTATGCATCCTTTAGGATTCCGTATTCATCAGCCATCACTGCGCCGTCGCCGCCGTCGCTTTCGCTGAGGTTCTGGAGCAAAAGGTGACAGTCGACGAAAAGTCGAGACACTGGTGTACTTTTCATCATTACCGTCGATTCAAACACTGACCCAGGCTTTGCACCAATTGCTGGGGCATGACGATAGCCCGGTGCAGTAGCGTCTAGGCTTTGGAGATCTCCAATCTCAAGTTCTGCAAAATGGTACGACTTCCGGGGGCCCTTGCTCCTGGGGTGAGCAGCGGTCTGGTTTTAGTAGCCCACAAACAACACAGGGAGACGCCCCCGGACCACACCACTCAATACCACTCAAATGTGTGTTTATGATTTTTTATGAAGCTCCCACTTGGGCAACAAACCATCTTTATTCAGGTCCTTTTTTCCAGTGTCGTATCGCGATGAATCAATAGTGAGGGCGAAATCAGCGAGCTAGTTACTGCTGGGAAATTATAACCCGGCACTGCTATTTCTCTGAGAGAAGGGAAAATAAGCACATTGGAAGAAGATCCCTAGCTGGGAGGCCTTGCAAGAGTGGTTTGCAGTGAGTGTTACTGTTGAAACTTAGTATTCTCTGACTGAGATGGAAACCGGTCTCCCATCGACACATCACATTTCGATTCAGCACAGGTCCCCTGCCAACTGTATTACACAGTTGCATTGTCCCCCATCCCCTGCCGCAATGCGCTAAGGGCGTGGGAGCTAGGAGTGTAGCGCTAAGTTGAGAGAAATAGGGGCAAAGCGCGAGAAACATTACAAATGACGGCTCAGATGGAAGATGCGCGAGATTGGCATATGGGAGGTTGAACGAGATAACCCGAGGCTCAAGGTGTCGATGACGCTGAGGAACAACGGGCAAGCTGGGTGACACTGCAAACCTCATTGCGCGGATCTAGGAACGATGGGATGAGCAGCGATAGTTATGGTGATTTTGGCAACGAGGACATAGTAAAAGCATTGATGCCAAGCCGCTTCATCGAGCCCTCAGAGCAATGACGAACTGCTGAATGTTGGATAATGGACGATGCGCGAGATGGGCCGCTTCCCATACTCAGATTGGGTGCCACATTGTATGGGCGGCACCGCAGCCAGGTACGTCAGTGGGCAAGGACCAGGCCGTCAGCATCTTATGCCCACCTGGCTAAGGAGCAGGAGGTCTCATTTGGAACCCATCGAACTGACATGGAAGAAACTTTGTCGAGCTACCCAGACTGCACTTAATCCGAGCCCAGCACGTGTACCTCGCAAGTAGTCCTTTATGAGAAAAACCTAATCCGAACGGCCCCCGTGGCTCCGCAGGGATGGTCCATCCGCCACCACGCGAAGTTGTCGACTGGGCGCCGCTCTGGCGGATACACAATTACACATTACCCAAGTAGCCTGCGGACCTAATATCTCAAGATCAGACACGGCCTCGATTAGTGCGCCGCCATGATGAACGTGTGGTGGGCATGTCGCCACTCCACTCTCCCAGCAAGCCAAGATGAGATGAATACGTAGAGTCCATGCTTGCGCTTCATCAGTCCCAACATACATACTAACGTAATGGAAGATGCTTCCATTGGGCCATCCAATACGTATCGCCCAACGACAACCCGTCATGTTTCAGCCGATAATTGATTGTAGATGGCTTTTGGTCGATAAATTTGACGAGATATACGATGTAACCCTCAGTAATGGCATGCCCCATGCATAGACTGTAAGTGCAGACGAATTCCAGACCGTGCCACGCCAAATCAAGTCAAAGCCAGTCTATCGTGTAATACCAACTTTAGTTCTCTCCTACTGTTGAATAACCTGGTGGTGGTATTCGTCGACCTTGCGAATAAGGCTTACCCGCCTCAGATCATGAAACTTCAGGTCAAGCAGAAGATCGTATCACTAGCCTGCCCCTCAAAACAAATCCTGCGGAAGACATAAGAGATACTAGCGCAACACGGTATAATAAGTGTGTTGTGCATCACTGTACATCATATCGTCGTATCCCGGTTGCCCGGTCCATTCTCACCCCAGCATCATCCTGTTGGTCCATCGCGCATTCTCATGTAATCTCCGCCGACCCATTCTCATTCTCACTGTCCTTCCAGAACAGCATACAAAGTAGGAAAGGCTAGTGTGCCCTCAAGTCACTGTTCCTGTGAAGCTTTGGGCTCCGACGTATGCCAAAGCTCGGTTTGATGCTTCATTTGCCTGGCGATGAGCCTTGTTGCTCTATCATCTTGGCTGTGACCCTCAGATGTGACCTTGCAATCACAAAGACCCTGACGGAATCATGATCTGCACGAGCTCGTGTCATTAATGTGGTAGAGGTGAGACCAATGTCGCATATGAAAAGAACCTGCTATGTAGAACAATATGGCAGAAGGGGTTGTTTAAAGCACTGGCCTTTTCTTGACGTCGATGAATTGCTTAATCTCCTCCGCCAGGGTCCTGTTCCTTGGGAACATCCGAATTTACCTCCATGCACCGCTAGGATGGCAGATGTTGCTCCCACGACATGGGTCTCCCTGCTAGTGACCACCATATGGTAAACATCCTCCCTTGAGAGAGATATCATTTACGATGCTGTTTCCAATCACTTGGGACTGCATCGGCGGTGACGCTGAATAGTCAATTGCGTGTGTCTTGTCTTGTCATGAGCTTAGCGAGCCAGCCGAGGGCCTTGTCTGGTTATTCGTCACTCCGCCATTTCTCCAAACCGTTTCCCCCCCTCCATTGTCAAGGAGTGTAAACACGTTTTTAGGATATCTATATTCCCCCATGGCCTGGCCAAAAACCGCCGTTTCGCGCGAGCTAATTCATGTAGGTGAGTAGTATATGTATTGGTAGGGGAAGCTCGTCACAGCCGAGCTTGCCCAGGCGTCGAGAAGGCGGTGACTTTTGTGGGCTATCGGGTGTATGCAATTCCATTGAATGCCCCCAGTTTCATATGTATATGTTGAAGAACATATCTCGAAGATTACAAGGACCCTCCTGCCTGGAACCTGACCTCAAGTACTTTTAGCATTGGGTAGTTTTCGATTCATCCAGCCAAGATTCTGGTAAGCTGCTCTCCGGATCGCCTACTATTGTTAGCTACATATGATGGCGTTAGATATCTTGCAGCTCGCCTGTTGACTACTGCAGTGCTACGGCGTTACGTTGCTCAATGATGAGACTAGCACGACTCGGAGAATTCTGCCAATGCAGTACCAACACATACTAACGTACGTCCTGTGCTTGTGCCATCAAAAATTGCGTTTCTAGCCGAGCCTGCTCAGGGATGCCTTATTGATGCTACTCACCGGGAAACTCTGCCATGTCACGTACGGAGTACTACTGGCATGCAATCGGATTCAATCAGTAAAAGGACTGCCTATGCCTGGTACAGCGTGTGCCTACCCATGCCGGGGCGGAAATGGAATGTTTCTAGTCATTCTAGCCTTCTTCCTCTCCACCACTGAGGTGGAATCCAATCCAACGGTGTAACTTAGTACCTAAATTACTGTACTGTACCGTGCCCAAGGTAGGCAGCTGAGACGCCCAAATCGCAGGGCTGTCCGCTGGGAAGAAGAGGCCTGCCGAGAACTGGAGTAGTCCACTTATCTACCGATGGAACCGATGGAAGCCCCAATTGCTTCCATTCTTCGAACGGCAGGCAGCTCCTAATCTGTCCAATCTGGCCTAGCTTGATTGACCTCCAACATTAAATCGACCCACCAAGATCAAAAGAGCACGATGCAAGCTTCGAGATGCTGGGTTTCTTGCAGAATCACGAGTTTTCATCTTTAATCTCCTCCTTGCTTTTTTCCGTACCCACCCCTCCATAGTAAATCCCGAAGCTTTCTCGAAATCATCTGGCGGCACAGTCCATCATTGTTCCCGAGTCATACGTTTTCTTGCCATATTGCGATCCGATCCGACCTGTTCCCCGGGTCATGATGCTTTCTCTGCCACGTCCAATACAGTACTCTCTCTATATACCCGCCCAATGTGCAAGCATTTGCCTGTTGGTGGATCTATTCGATCGTCTGGGCACTATACAGTAGCTGTACCACCTGCCTTCCATGTTCAAAGGCCCTGTATACAGCGAATCGGATAGCAATTTGTCTATTTGACAGTAAGAAAGCATGGCGACTGCTTGGCGAACATTGGATACGTATACTCCTTGTGCCTTGTATACCAGCCGCACGGGTTCGATGGCCAATACGAGAATTCCTGGGCTTGTTTATGGTGTTACACTTGTTCAAAACGGCCAATATCTTGCCCATCATCATCACAAAAGCAGCAATATGCACATGGGGGCTCAGACACTTTCAACCTAGGGTGCCGCCCAATGAGACGACGGGCATGGGCTTGTGCTTCCGTCATGCTGTCCTCTCTGCTGTATACAGAACTGTCATTAACGGTCGTCTCCCCTCCTCGGCTCGTAGCCCAAGGGTTCCTATTTTAGTTGAAGACTTGACTACTGTTCGTTCTGCCCGAATTCGTGAGAGGCACCTCAGACAGCCGAGCTTTCTATTCATGTGATACTCGGCCTTTCAACATGCCCTTGAAAGGCATTAATTAGTATGCACAAACTGGCTTTCCACAGAATACCTCGACATGAGTGAGGTACAGAGCAAATTTTTCCAATGTAAGAAAGATTCAGCGAATTGCTGGCCCCTACCTGCATGTCGAGTCAGGGGTGTCAAGTTCGGGAATAGCAGACATGAACTAGAATAGGGTGGCCCCAGGGTCATGCATGCATGCTTCGCCGGGCTGAAGAAAAATAAATGTGCCCGACTTGTCCGACTCCCACATTTTACAATCGGCAAGAGCACAATTTTATTATCTTTCTTTTGTTCCAGCAACGCGGACACCCTCGTCTGTTACAGATCCTCGTAGGCCATATGTATATCAGACTTACAGTATTTATATCGGGTAAAATATCGCGGGTAGATATCTCCGGCAAACTTGTTCCTACTACAAGACTTGCCATGCCGGCATTGATCCGCCAAAACACACCAACCCAACGCAGTTACACCGCCCTCCTTCGCTTCGAGCTCGCGGCGTTAGACCAGAAGAGAAAGTTCCAACGGCCGGGATCTAACGCTAGAGACAAATCGTCGATTCAAATGTGCCGAGATGGTCGATTCTGGGTGGTCAGCCAACGGTCAAGTAACGGTTAGTCGATTGCTACTGGCTAGAGGGTTGGTAGGCCCGGCCTGCGTGAAGATGCTGTGCTGTGCTGAGCTGCGACTGTGCGACGCAGGACGGTAGCCAATGTCGTCAGGGGCTAGATCTCGAAGACTGTGGCTATCCCCGGCGCCGAAGGGATATCTAATTCCTGTGGAAGCGATCATGAGATCCCCACGATGCGGCGTCGTGCACGGTTGGAGGTAGGGACCAATTCGAGCCACTGGCAGCCCTTCTTTGCCCACCATCAGCCTCAATTGCGTGTCTTTGAGTTGCTACTAAGCCTTCCTTGGACAAGCCACCACACGCTGGATATTGAGAATCGGATTGGGCTCTGTGGGCCGGCACAGCTAGATCTCACACCGTGGCAGGCTAGGGAGACTAGAAGCCTAGAACATCGTCTACTGCAGCGAAGGCTTGCGAGGTGGTCTGATGTCGATCACTCTGTGGGACTACGCTACGTACAGTAACTATTACGCGGTAGTTGATCAAGGCAAGCTTAATCCTTGAGCACTAATGTGGCCATCCAGCCCCTAGCCCACAGGCTCGCCGCCTACACACGACAATGCAGTTGTACAAAACAGCCATTGTTATTGCATTCATTGCATATGATAAAGAGACAACAGGCGAGGTTCTTAGGGATGGGGGTGCGCGGCTGATCAGGTTGAAATACATCAGCATTGCTGTTACACAGCCAGCTCATCAGACACTCATGGATTCTTACATGTTTGTGAGCCCTGAGTCACTGATTAACATTGGGTTTAATTCCGTTTAAAGGTACAGTACCTAACGACGAGAACAATCCTTTCAAGACTTGCAGTGTGTAGTTTCTCCCAGACAATACTGTAGTCCCGGTTGGTGGGAGTAGCTGGGGGGCGTTTTATGTGATGCCATCTTGATTCACGCCTCTTGTCACGCCGGACGGTACGTAGGTACTAAGGTGCCATCTATCTACTACTACCAAGACTAAGGATTGCGGGCGCGTTTCCGCACACTACACCAGATCAGATGCGCCCGTCTCAGCTCGGTCTACGTACATTCGGATACTAATATTAATAAATAGTTTGATTTCTTTACAGTAGACGGACGGGACACGCTGCAAGATCCAGGTATCTCGATCCGCTATACCCCGAGGTATCGTATCGGCCGATGTTATCCTGCATCCTTCACCCTTCTGTCGTGACGTTGTGCTGACCACTGCGGGTACTTTGTCCCGCAGTGTTGGCACCACCCAAAGAAACCAAAGTCGCCAGATCGAATGGTTTAACTGGAGTAGACTATAGCCCCCGGTGGTGAGCAAGTTTCCCACGGTGTTGCATCGGTCACTGCCCGTTTCCTGTTCTGGTATTCAGGTGCCATATGCGTCTGCACAATCTGTACAGAGTACTACATTGGAGAACAGCCCCCTTTACCTTGTGAGGTCTCACCTTCGGGGGTTTTCATTTTCTTGTTGCTTTCCGGGTGGTTTATCTGATGACTGGTAACCAATGACCTCCTTGAAGGTGGATCTGGAAGCTTAACGGTAGCCGAGGGGGGGGGGGGCCTCAGAAACGTGTTTGACTTGAAGCTAACAAACTTACAAACTTATGGACAAAAAGGTAAAAATGTTGAACCATCCAAAGGTTACCATTACTGAATGCGGATGGCCTCTCCACTGGGAACACACGTGGTGGACCGCAAATGCAGGGCGACGGGCGAACTGCCTCTCGAATCCCACCAACTGGCAACATTCCATCCGTGCAGGCGAAATGCTTGCACTATAGGAGAAGGCGTACGGATACGTACTTTATTATATACGAAATGGAGACAGAGTTTTTTGACAATGGCTGGTCATCGCGTATCCGAGTGTGGGCCCGGGGCCGAATGAGACGGCTTGGAGACGCCAAGCTTGTGAACAGTACAAAAGTTCATGATTTCAGACAGAAAACTCGACTGGGTACATACTGACTGGCTGGTTTTACATGATATCACGCTGGAGAAGCAGATTGTGGAGAGATTATACAGCTCAAGGCTCGGGCAACTTGCCTTGTTGGCCGCAATAAGAATTCGCACGCGTGATGGAGATGGTCCACATCCATAACATACATGCACACATACATACCTTCCAGGAAATATAGATCTACGCATCGGCTCCTGGTATTGATGCAATCTCTGATTCATATCCGTTTGACAGGCACCCCTTCCAGGCCTAATCGTTGCTTTCCCCTCCGAGTTTTTATACGGAAGTACTGTATTGCTATAGGTCATAGATACGAGGCCCAGGAACCAAACTTTGTCGGCAGTTGGTCAAAGTTTATTATGAAATCTACCGAATGGGATCCGCAAAGTGTCGATTATTATGCTGGTCTCGTCCATACGAATTTGATTATCAAGGTCCCAACTTCATATAACGATGCTACAATGAAGTCCATGAACGTTGTGCCCTTCTTAATAGCACCACAGGGTCTTGCTTGCTGTTGGTAACTGTTCTGTTGGATCCTTCTACCTTAGCTTCCCAGGTACCTACCTAGGTAGGTACCAGTCAGGCACCCCGTTAAACTTCCATTACGGGAAAAACGGAGTAATCTCCCGCTGGGGCTTCCTTGTCCTTCACTGGGCAGTTCGTGCCATGCCAAATTGTTCTGACAGCAGGCCCCCGTTAACCTAACTTCAACTACCTAACCAGACACTACCATGGGAACCATGGCCCGCGTTCTGTCAACTCTACCAGACAAGATCAAAGCGCGCTGTTGTGTTGTAACGATAATGGCCAGCGGCTGGCTCTTGATTGAACCTCCCGGCCCTTCTCGTCCTCGTCGATGGCAATCCAATTCGTCGTCGAATCTCGTTTGAGAATCAGCTTTCGATATTCCTAATCCTTACCACATGAAAAGGTCAAAGGCAAAACGTCTCTCTAACTACAAATCCTCATCATCAGTGATGTGATATGCACTCAATATCTTTTTGAACTACGGTAGGTAGAGTCATCTCGCTGCCACTGTTGAATGTTTGAAATTCAATTCGACTTCGGCTGGCCTCAAACCTGCGCCAGCCCAACCGATGTTGATCAGCGCGAGCCATGGGAAGTGACAGAGTGGCTGCCGGCATGGATACCTAAAGTGTCACTTTGGTGAATCATCCCCGATGGATCTCATGCAAGCGCCGCTGCTACATACAGTACAGTACAGTACAGTACAGAAGCCCTGAAAGTTTCAATCCCCAGCTTCCAGCCCTCCGCCAGGGCCCCCTGGCCATCGACTGGCCTCCCTTCGATCTTCGCAAATCGACTCTGTATATATGTACATGGGCCCAGCGATAGTTCGTATGAAAGTCACTTTCCAAGTTCTCCTAACCTAACAAAACCAACAGTGCAACAGGGCATCCTTTCCTAAAGGAACCTTATGCATTGAGGATTTATGTTGTTGAGCAAACTAAGACACATGTCGATACCTCCTTGCCTTCTCATCGGATGTCATGGTCGTTCTGACAGGTCTCAAGACTAGCCTAAACCCGGGGGTGCTCTAACGGCACAGATATCGTATAATATTCGCCGAGAGTTTAACCACAAACAGGTATTCTGAGGCACATCTCGCACAGGCAATTCAACCCAAATGACCCCAACCGGACCAATGTGACGGGCGTTGGCAAGGTCTCATCCAGCCGTACATAATTAACGCAAAACAGATCTGATATGATAAGTGGTTGGTTAACGGCACATCCCTACCACTCAATATTCTTTGGCCAACCACGCCCGTCCCGACATACCTAAGTGTGCGCTGCAGCCTCTCGATTCCAACGGTCTCGATGATGCACAGCACTCAAAAAAGCAACGAATAACGTTGATTAACAAGGCTCAGCCCGTCGCCAGCCCCTTCTTGAGAGCCGATTTGCAGACATGCTGGTCGCTTTCTGAGATGCTGATAAGCGTAGCATCAGCAATGTGATATGGCGAGTCATTCGGCAGTACTTTCACATCGTGCATGATGCGTCGCAAACCCCAGACTCAATCTGAGATGCGTGTCAAACTGAACAGGCAATCACACCCTCTTCTGAATAAGCCTTTGGAAACAATCAAGCATGAGGCCTCCACCGTTCAATCATATGTATGTATATGTGCTGTGTAAAGCTAACTCTAATAAGATGCCGGGAAACAGTAGCTTCACATGCGACGCCTTGTCAACTACCGACAACGAAGCATGGTGCTATTCTCGAAACCAAGCATCTCGCGATGGCGACTACCGCGAACACCTATGCGACCCTTGGGCGGACTGGAAATGATTGTTGATTGGGTGTTCAGTCCTCATAAACAGAGCAAGATTTTGGGGGAAGTAAGACCCTCCCCACGACACATTCAGCCAACGCCAGCCGATCGGATCACGGTACAATGACGTGGCCGTGCTTCCACAAAGAGGCCCCCAGATCGATTCCTGATTTCTGGGTCTACACCTTGGGTCCTTGGCCTCGAAACATTACCGAGGCGCACACGGAGATGCAGATGGAGCTATCCACCACAATGCTGGTGACGGATTCCAATGCTACGCCAAGTCCAACTGTGTTTTGTGAGTTGACAGGGGTGGGTTGCGCCCGAAGCGATCGGTGAGGGTTTAGGGGTTGCCCGTGGCTCTTCCAAACGCCAGATTCCCGCTCGGTCAATGTCGCTAGTTGGTCATCATATTGAGCAGTCAGATATACTAAACGGATTTTGTGTGAGCTGCTTGCCACTCACGAGAGGGCTTTGTGCATGTCACCACCATATCACATACCACGATCATGAAGAAGGCAAAATACTTATGTATACATATTTAGGCTGAAGACCAGCGGCGAAGCATCTGACACAACATATCGTGCAATCATTCCAAAGGGATGGATTCCCATTGAGCAGCTCAGTCAGGAGAAACAAGGACAGGGGTCTATCAACCATCAACACCAGGACGGAATGGCGGGAACCCTGGGATCTGGCTTGTTGTGGGGCGGATTCGACAGTGCGATCGTCTGATCCCAGGGCGCCGTGCGCTAGTGAGATCCTGCCCGTCCCGGGAACACACCACACCGCTTTCAGTGCTTCCATACACCCCTTTTCGGTGAGGGCAAAAGCAGAGACCGTCAGTGGTGTTCCGAAGCATACATACGGGCGACCAGCAGCCAAAGTCTACGACAACAGTGACACTTCCAGACTTGATTCGTCAACTCCATGAGTTCGATTCGATACATGCATAGCGGGACAGCGACTGCGTCAGGGCTGCAGGGAGACACAAGAGACTTTTGAAAAATCTGAGACTCTGGGCCCGCGCATGAATACGTCGATCGCAGAACTCTATTAGCTCATCATGTCAAACATGCAGCAAGACCCTTGGAACCTACCAAGCTTCCTGTCCAGGTAAAAAGAGAATCGGCGAATACTACCGGCCAGCATTATGCTATCACTCGCCAGTTCTACAAATCTGTGTCGTTTGCGCTTTACCGCCTGCGCACGACAAGCGCCAAGGATTGTAATGTACAAAGTAAGGTCCTTGTGGTCTTATTAGAATTGGCAAAGAAGTTGTTGGCTACCATTACTCAATATCAACCTTGGATGAATGCCAATGTAGTCTTGGCCAAGAACAGCCAGACAAATCACCACTTTGACGACCGCCGACTTGACTGGCAGTTTTCGGGCCTCCTTTATTCAGTTGTGAGTTAATAGTGCTTGTGCAAGTGTACAGCATATTTGCACTATCATTGAGGGCAGGGTGCAAGACTTCAAGCCACACCACGCCCAGCAACGATTTCACAGTACGTATGCACGGGTATGCGCGT